TTGATGCACTCAAACGTTGGATTGAGGTCATAGAGCAGTATGACTTCAAGCTAGACTATGTGAAGAGAGAGTATAACAAGGTTGTTGATGCGTTGTCATGTAGGGCAGATGACCTGGGTGTGCTGATTACTGAGTTTGGCTTATCTGAGAATGTAACTAGATCGCTGGTGGAAGCCTACAAGGAAGACCCTGTCACGATGGACATCATCCACAAACTTGAGGCCCAAGACAAGGCCACATCTGAATAGTTTGTGGTGGTGGATGGGTTACTCTTTCTTGAGAAGGCAGGCTTTAAAAGATTAGTTGTTCCATCTAGAGAGATTTTGCGTAGTTTATTTTTAGGCGAGTGCCACGACGCAACGGGACATTTCGGCTATAAGAAGACTAGTGCTAATTTAGTACAGCGATTTTGGTGGCCAAACATGCTTGACGATGCAAAGAAGCATGTACAGACTTGTCAGTTCTGTCAGCGTGACAAGCCGCGGACTCAGTCCGCTTGGGTTACTAAAGCCCCTACCCATTCCTGCTAGTCCACGACAGATCGTTTCCATGGACTTCATGGATACCCTCGTGACCAGCAAGAGTGGTAAGAGGCATATCTTTGTCATAGTTGTTAGGTACACTAAGTAGGCTAGACTAATCGCCATGCTGGAGACCGCCAGGACTGAGCACGTCATCAAGTCATTCATGGATGATTGGGTGTGTGAGTTTGGACTGCTCAAGACTATCGTTAGTGATAGAGATGTCCGTTTCACAAGTTAGATGTGGAAGAAGGCTGCAGAACAGATGGGTAGTCAACTCCAGATGACTTCAGAGATTCACCCCGAAGCTAACGGGCAGGCTGAACAGATGAAGCAAGTGGTGCAGCATCTGCTGAGGCATTACATAAAGCCCAGCCAAGATGATTGGAATGAGAAGTTACCTCTCATCGCCAGTCTGTACAACAACGTTGTACACAGCACCACCAGCGTCACTCCCAATCAGCTGCACGTGGGGTGGAAGCCTCCTCCCTAAAAACCGACCTGTTGCAACTCCTGGAACCATTGAATTTGGTGTCCAGTACGAGAAGTTGCTGCAGCAAGCTGTCGAACACATCAAGAAATCTCAGGAAGCAATGATTGCTTCTGAGCACAAGCATCGCCGACAGTCCACATTTCAGGTAGTGGAACGTGTCTAGGTTAAGGCTAGTGAGTTAGGCCAGGAATTCGGCATCTCTAGAAAACTGAAGCCTCAGTACTTCGATCCTTGGGAAGTCTTGGATATTGTGGGGAGTGAAGAGGAAGGTTCCTCGTATGTGATTCGAATCCCAGGTCACCTACGCACTTACCCTATGTTTTATGCCTCAAAGCTTGCACCTTTCGCTGAGACACAGCGCTTCCCATCAAGGAGATCGATGCTGCCCCCAACCATGGATGGCCGCGTGGGCGTCGACGATATTCTGGAACACAGAGGCATGCCTGTTCCCAAGCCAGTTGGCAGGGGAAGATCGCCCAAGCCTATGAGGGAATACCGTGTTCGGTTCAGGCAACATACAGATCCTAAGGAAGATCGTTGGGTCACAACGCAGGAGTTTGTCAAGACAACTCCTCAGATTGTGGCAGAGTACGAATGTAAACTGAAGCGGAAGGCACCTGCATAGAAGCGTCTCAGCGGACTGTCAAAGGTAAGGGTGATGGAATGCGAGGAATGTCTCCTCAGGAGGGCCCTTAGACAGCATGCATATGGTCTGACTGCGGCCCCCAGCAAGCCTTGAGCCCGCCCTAAGTGCAGGCGGACCTGAATAATTTCAAGAGGCCCTTATCTCAGCATTTTCCAATGCGGGCCTTAGACAGTTGTTTCACAAAAGTTGGTTGACGAGCAGCATGAGGCCTTACCTTGGGTCCGGGTGGTTGAGCCCAGGGCACATGCATTGAGGGGCAGATACATCACGAAATGTCCACGGGAAAGAAAGCAGCATCGCCGTCGTATCTACCCCGTGGTCCAGTCCAAGTGCAGCAAACATCCGAAGCCTGGAAAGTTCTGAGTGAAAGGCCCCAGGCCTGCAACTAAGAAAGTTGGCCAGGGTGTAGGTACTGGGGCCCGACCGGAAGCTACTGGAAACCTCCACGGCCAGGTCCACACAGTCCAACACAGGCTGCCACTTCCATATAGGAAGCAAGGCAGCCAGGGAGTGGCATTCTGGCCAATGCTGGCATTGCGGACACACTGCTGCGCTAGCGTGTGGGTGTCTGCATTTGCGCAGCTGCTGGCTGTGGTGCGCATGGGCGCTGCGAGGTGGGGGTGCTGCAGGGCAGCGGGCCGCTAGCGGCCATAGCCGGGCTGCAGGGCGCGAGGCAGATGAAGGGCGACAGGTGGGGTCTTCGGGAGGAGGCGCAGAGAGTGGGTGCCAGGGGGTAATGAGGGAGACGAGGATACATACCTGGTGTATGCAGGAGGTCGGCATTGGTGTTGACAACATGTACATTGGTCTTCAATGTCGAAGTGAGCCTGTTGCATGAACGTAGGTAGGGGAGATAGGCAGGCAGAGTAGGCTTGGCGCTGGGCCCCAGACAGAGAGGAGCGACATTGAATACTGCGTTGGTGTGGCCTGAGGGCGTGAACATTGGCTCACAAGTTCATTGTATTGCTCTTATTTGGCCGGAATCTTGATGCATTTGAGCTCTCTGCTTTTACATGACTATCTGGACTTCTGCGTGATTTTGCAACTTGGTTTTCTGTATATCGCTCTCGCTCATATTCCTTGCACAGGGGTGCTTGCGGTGTTGATGTTAGCAACCACGGCTAGCGCCTGAGGACTGATGGCTTCAGTCTATTGCTGGGGAGCATCACCTGCTGGGAAACCTGCCCAGCGTCCCATTATACAGAAAATTATGATGAATAGGAGCAGCAGTCTGCCTCTTCAGCCACTGTCTTGGCTGCCTGATAATCTTGCCATGCCTGCAGGCCCAGCTTCTCTGTTCCAGAAATCTAATGCCTGATATGAGACTGGTGGGAAGCGGGCCAAGCGTTCCGTTGTACAGGTTTTATGGTGAAACAATATTGGAAGTCTGCCTGTTCAGCCACTATCCTGGCCGCCTGATGACCTTTGATATACCATTCAACTGCTTGATATGATGACCGGCCTGATGAAGGGAACAAATGTCGTCAGTCTGAGGGCTGCGCCCCTTCATCTGTGGCACAGCCCCCGGCCACTCCAAGCTGTTGGCAGGCCGAATACTGTACGCGTTCCGCAGCTCATCTTTTCCTTGTTACACGCTCGCTGCTTCTGCCCCGCAAGTCTCTGCACAAGTCTCTGCACGTGTCTAATTGTGGCGAGCAGAAATGCTGACATTACGGTGTCCAGATATCTGGTTTGTGTTGGCCACTGGGGCAAGCTTTTAGATGATCCTTTATGGTTGTCAATCCAACTGAAAGCATGTGGATTGGAATGTGAGCATCATCCGAGAAGCAGAAGGATTAATGTCATGGCAATTATTGTGTTGTAGCAGGTAGTATGTGTTTGAAAATCGGCATTGCAGGAGATGATGGAATGTGACTGATGTTACGATCCTGGTCATTCCCAAAGTGCAAATTCACAATGAAAGACAATGCCACTCAATTGCGAAAGAAATGAAAGCACTTGCAAAGAGATTGAGATCAGAGAAGAGAGAAAGAAGAAGAAGAAGAAGAAGAAGAAGAAGAAGAAGAAGAAGAAGAAGAAGAAGAAGAAGAAGAAGAAGAAGAAGATGTACACCAGCAAGACCAATGACAAATCCCCCTTCTCTCTTCACCTTCCTCCTCCTGCTTCACTTCGCCAATCTCATTCTTCTCCCAATAATAATAATAACAATGAGTGGATGAACCAGAATCAATATCCGAAGTTCCCTCTTACTGCTGACACAACAACAACAACAACAACAAGTCCACCATAGCTATGGATTCCCTCCTTCTTCCTCCTCTCACATGCCTAGGCTATGGCGGACTACTGAGGGCCCTGCCCTCCTGTCCAAAGGACAACCCAAAGCAGCTATGGCGATGCACTCCTGTCCAAAGGACAACCCGAAGGAGCTATGCCGCTGCTGACTAATCCGCCATGCCTGACTCTGCCTCCAGCTTCCTTGGTGCGGCACTACCCCAACTGGGGCCTTCCAACAAGGTGATGAAGATGGTGTCCACCATAGCCAGGTAGGTGCCTCGCCACTCTCCTCCTCCGCCCCCTTCTTCCTCCTCCTCAGGCTGGGCTGCTCGCCATAGCCAGGCTGAGCGCCCAGCTGCCCTTCACCTCCAGGCAGCGCTGTACTTGTCCAGCGCTTCGCTCAGCAGCATGTCGCCAATCCTTGCATACCGCAAATGAGGAGGAGCTACTTGCTCCTCCGGAAGATATAGCGGCCTACTGGCCTCTTGGGCGGTGACTTCCTAGGCCGAGCGGCCTCCCAGCAACCGGTACCTCCTCGCTTTCGGAGGGAAACATCATTGCAGGCTCTGCTATCGTCCGGACAGGCCCTAGACCCGGGCTACTTGGACTGGTMCCGGCCTACCTCTAGCCTACCGCTACTGGGCCTCTAAAAATGCCAACTTTTTGTCTTCTTCTGCTCGGCCTCCAGTACCCGACACTCCTACCACTACTTGAGTGGTACCAGCCTACCTGCTACTTGAGTGTTTTTCCCCGCTGCTCTAAGTGTCGCAGGCCTACCCCCGGTACTCGAGTGTTTTCCCCATTGCAACCCTCAAAGTCACGGCCACAGGTAAGTACCGGCCCTGTGGGGCCTTTCAACCAACAAGTACCCTTGCGGGTCACACACACACTCAGCCGACAAGCACTCAGACATGCATGCAAACCAGCAGGCACGCACACACACACACAGACTTGGAAACCACAGCAGAATGCGGGAATCTCAGCAAGGCATTCATTCCAGCGGCAAATCCCAGAAATCAGCAGTGTTCTCAGTCTGTGTTTTTGGCGGGTCATTACACTGAATATGTTTTTTCGGGTATGGCTGTTTGTGTTCTTGGTGCTACAGGAGACCCAGAAGCGAGGCGAGTGGCCTGCAGCTCTGCACAATAACTTCATTATCGGGCATGGAAGAAAGAAGAGGCGCTTTGTTAAGGTTGGGCTATGGGTGCTGGATGACAATGAGAAGTGCCAGAAATTCCCAGCAGATCCTTTCCTTCCTCCCGCGGACTCGTCCAAACTCTCATATGCGATAAAGATCCTTTGCTACAACCGCCCAGAACATCTGTCCAATTTGCTCAGTGCACTTCTAGCCGCTGACTACTCTGCTTTCAATGGGCGTGTATCTTTGGATATCTTCATTGATTACCCTGACGAAGAAGACGCAAAGAATGCAACCATCGTTGCAAGACGTGAGGAGTGCGTTACGATTGCCAGGTCCTTTCCCTGGCCTGCAGACCGTGGTGAACTTCGTGTCATCCCCAGGTCTGTGCATATGGGCTTGGCTGGACAATGGCTTACCTCCTGGTTTCCTACGTGTGACACAGAGGTGGCGATGGTGCTCGAAGATGATAATGTTGTTGCTCCACAGTTCTTCCAGTGGCTTCATTCCGCTGTGCGGCGGTACTTCCTCGATCCGGCCGAGCATGATTCACGTTTGTATGGGATCTGCATGCAGTCTCAGCATATGATTCCCGGAAAGAATGTGTATGGAAAGAAAACCTGGGAGTTGCTTCCACCTGGGACCACATTCTTCCGCTATCAGCAGCCAAGCACGTGGGGACCAGTCTTCTTCGCAAAGCAGTGGGCGGAGTTCGTAAGTTGGTATAACAGCAAGACAGAGGACCCGGATTTCAACCCTTACTTCAGCAACATGATTACGAACGAGTGGTTCATGAAAAGAGGTGGTGGAAGAGGGGTGTGGAGTGCCTGGTGGATGCGATTCATTGCCGAAAGGGGGTGGTATGGCCTGTACACCAACTTTCCGAATCAAATGGCATTGGTAGTGAATAAGCGAGCCGCAGGAGTGAACTTTCCGAGAGACCTCGGAGATAACTCTCCCATGGTGGAAGGTCAGCTCGCTCCGTACATGACAGATTTTCCATCATTGAGAGATCTCCCACTATTCGACTTCCATTTCAACCAGATAATGGAGGATCCGTCCATCCTCGAGGGTCGGGGAGTGTACAGCGACTTCTACAATGTTGACACAGAGTCCGAGGTTGCCTAAAGTGACTGTGTCTCACTACCAAAAGAACCCTTACAACATCATTGATTCGAATTGCCACTTCCTGCGGAGAGGAGGGGGATTGTAGCAGCTGCACTTGGTTGGACATGGGTGGCGGTTGAGTCCTGCCCCTCCATCACACATACACGCCATAAGAAAACTTGTGCTTGGCATGTCCCGGCAGTTTTACAAACTTTTTTTTTTTTTTTTTCTTTTGACAATTTTCCTCGTTCCTTTTCTGTAGTTTCCTCGCAGATTGGCAGTACACACCGCCGTTGAAGTCCGTGACGCTTCAGGAGTCCTTTACCACTCAGCTGTGATGATCTGTCCACCACTTCATCTTAGGTTGCTCGCTAGCTTTGCGCTTTTGGGCACCATTTATCCGTGTTGCCGTTCTGCACATGAGCCTCCCCTTTTCCCCTTTTTGCTCCCTTTGCTCCTCCCTTCGTCTTTCCTTCTGTATGTATTGCAGTTCCACGCCAGCAATCTCATCTCCGTGCCAATCTGGGAAGTGCAAAGGGCAGAAGACATGCCTCCACTGTCCATCATAATTTGGAAGTGGCGCTGTAGCCTCCTTCCATTCCTGTGGTTAGGCTAATTGAGCTGGTCTTTTGCAGTTCTTTTCTTTCCTTTGGAGTTTATTTCATTTATACGCTTGTTCATCCTCGTTTTGGTACGTTAGCATGCACTGAGTTAAGTTCAGATAGTTCCACTGGTACTGGCACTCAGCACCGCAAGTCCCGGTCATTGTACAGTGATTCATCAGCAATGATTCTTAACCGACAGGCCTAGCGCAGTCGGTACACCCCTTGGAACTGTTGAAATACAGACCCAAGTTTGAATCCCGACGAGTGAGATGCAACAATTCTGAAGTACCTGGGCCAGTCAGTTTGATGATGGTATCTCAAGGCTGTCGCCCTTTTAAGGAAGAAAAAAGAGAGAGGAAAGAGAAAGAAAGCACAATGGTTCTTCGGCCAGTGGTCGCCCACCACAGTGACAACCCTCTTCAAGATTCCCTGCCGGCTCATTTTTTGTTTGTTTGGTTTTCCTTTGTTTAAGCATTTGTAGATCAATGAATCATGGGAGCAGTCTTGCTAGTCAGCGTCAGTTTTTCCCTCCAAAGGCGTTCTGTATAAGGCGCGCTTTGACTGCAGGCTTGCAGTCCTTGCAAGTCATAATTGACTATTAGATTTGCAAGTCCAGCAATGGTCGAAGCACCCACAAGTGATGGGTGACCAGTAATTGTCCTGCTGACTGGAATAACATTTTGATCACTGTTTTTTAATTCTGAAATAAAGTTGTTCGGAACTCGTTGCACTTTTCTTCAGTTGAATGAGATGAAGAGTAGGCTGTCCCCCTTGTCTGGTTTAGGGCACTCCGTGAGAATGTGGACATGCAGATCTATCTGTGCCTGCCTTCATTTCCTTTCTTTTCTTGCCTTTCGCTATTCATAAACTCCCTGCCCTACCCCCCAACCCCCTTAATGTCTCGGCTGAAATCCCTCTACCTACCTCGCCTCCTTTCTCCTCGCCTTCCATGGAAGACGTCGTCCTCCCCTCTGATGACACCCCACGTGGCAGGGGCAGAAAAGAGCTTCAGGGATTGCCACTCCCCTCCCATGGATCGGTCTGTTGATCTAAGTGCAACGGAGGCACACATATTGTGTCTGGAAGCAATGGGCTGATACACGATTCTTTCTGTCCTCAGATCAGTTTCTCTTTCTCCCTTTCCCCTTCATTCTCTCTCTTCCCTTCTTTCTCTTTCATTCACCTGGGTGGCTAGAAGATAGACTCTAGACTCTGCTACACTGGTAAATCATGTTGCTTCATTCTGTGAAGAACTTCCTGGCTCACTTTTTACGAAATTTCACACGACAGCTTCTCAAGTTCTTTTGATGATTTGTATGTTTACGAGCTGGTGATTCAGAAATGTTTGCCTATGCTTGATCCTCATGTGATCATCTGATCCCCTTTCCGCTCTCATTGGAGTTGCGGCCAGTTCATCACATGAGCGTCGATTCGATTATTGGCCTCCTTTATCTTTAAGCGATTTCCATTTCTCTTGTCATCTTCACACACTCACACGAGTTAATTCTCTCTGGAGCTATCATTCATCAACTCTTTCTGCTTGTCATTTGCAGAAGTAGATAGGTCATTGCATGGGTGATGTACATTTTTGCGCCTCTTGATGTATGATTCCCTCAGTGATTATCTGCATGAAACCCCTCAAATCGATCCCGACACCCCGACTGATCAGTTCACCACCATCTCATGCGGAGCGGGAATGTTGTGCGGCTTGCTGGATGGTAACCATGGGCAACTTTCTTCCCCACTCATACAGTCATCTGGCCATTACATATGCTGCTTTTAGATTGATCTCTTGAAACATTTCTTTCACTTCAACCCTGTTTGGTTTGATAGAAGCCACACACAGTTTTTTTAAGCAAAACAAACGACAAAGCGTACAGGCGGACCTTGTCCCTCCTGTCGATTGTCCTTTTTGTGGGGATGTTGAGGGGCGCTCCATGTTTTTCATAAGTGTTAGGGGTACTGGCGTGCTCTTCTCTGCACTACCCTACACTTCCTTAAAATTTGCAGTTTTATGAATTATTATCTCGTTTTATCTTCTGTGCATCTCCCTCCCCTGATCAGCCACTCCAGCCTTCTCGCGTCGGTTCTGCATGCCTGGCCCAGCTGATCAGATGAGGGTTATGGAAGAACCTGTTGCATGCTTTTCTGTGATCGCATTGCTCTCGACCCCAACCCCCMCCCCCCTCCCCCACCCACCCACACACACACAAACACCCGCGAGCATTCAACTGCCTGCCACAGAAGGTAAGGCATGGGGCAGTTCACGAGAAGCACAGTCCATAATGTATCGTATCGCAATTATGGCCTTCTACATGTGAATATGAAGGCAGTCGCGTAGTGCTCGATTCCTATTTTGATTCTTATTTTTTATATGTACGTCTTGAACCACTAGTACCTTTGCCCCTTCAGAAATGATGGAAAACGCCAGTCCCCCAAGAATTCGGAGTCCGGGGCCGACGACGGCTGCCATTGATAAATCTAATCGGGGTCGTCATTTCATTTCGGCCTCCTGAAAGGTTGGAGGCCCACTATTTTCCGAACCAACAAAGGTACTGCGAGGAACAAGCCCTCACGGGGCCCTATCAGACATCACATGTTCTGGGCAAAGGCCCAGCTTGCCAAGTACCCGCCCTAAGTGAAGGCGGGCCTGAATATTCGTCAAAAGCTAAAATTCGACACTTTCATATGTGGGTATTCAGGCTCTTGCAGCACGCCAGTTGGTTGAACGGGCGTGCGAGCCTCACTAAACTGCGTCGTACAGTTGTGCCCAGGCGCAATGACAGTTGCGCCTGGGCACATACACACAAAGCAGGGCCGATACCTTGAGAATGCAGGCCATCGGCCTACGCAAAAGCAGTACTGTCGACGCACCTTCCCGGGAGCCCTGCACAGATGCAGCAAACAGCCCAAGTCCGGAGACTCAGGCCGTGCCCAACTGTAAATGGGGCCCAGGCCCTCAACTGTAGTCTCGGCCTTGGGCGCAGGGTCTGAGGCCCAACCGGAAGCTACTGGAAGCCTCCAGCCAGGCCACACGCAGCATCCAGGAGGCTGCCACTTCCATAAAAGAAGTGAGGCAGCCCAGGCCAATATTCTAGCCTGCATAGGCAATGCGGGAGTGCTGCTGCGCTACTGCTTGATGCTGCACTGTGGCCAAGGGCACTGACCGGGCGCTTAGCGGTGAAGTGGGGCGCTGCAGGGCAGCGAGGTGCAGGTAGCCATAGCCGGGCTGCTGGGCGCCAGGGGGTAATGCGGGCGATCTGGTGGTCTTCAGGGAAGGAGGCAAGTGTGGGGTAATCAAGGTCTGACTGAGGGTGACAAGATACGTACCTGGTGCATGAAAAGAGGTCGGCTATGGCGTCGACAGTCGTGCACATTGGTCTTCGAGAGTCGAAGTGAGCCTTTGCGTGAACACAGCTGTAGGTAGGATATTCGGGTAGAGTAGGCTGAGCGCTGGCCTGTGTGTCCGAACAACGGGCAACGGGGGCCGTTAAATTCCATTGGACCCCGTTGAATTGCCCTAGGGGCCCAGCTGAATCCCGTTCAACGGAAAAACGTGGGTCTCCCGTTGAATTCGAAGAAACGGGATGGGCGCGTTGGGCCTCGGGCACTTGGCCCTATGCGCCCAAACACGAAAAACAGGAAAAAGAAAAATGACCCCTATTAACAGGGTGGGGTGGCTAAACACGCTCCTCCCTTCCAAAAATCAAACTGCAAGAGGGGAAAAATTTGGGGCCACCCCGTACCCCAACACTGTGAGCACATATGTGTGTATGTGCGTGCATGTCCTTTTTTTTTTTCTTTTCTTTTTTTCACAAATGCTCCAATCTATTCGGCCACTCTCATTTCTGAGGGGCCCTTACGTAATAGCATGGACCTTCGTGCACCAGAGATGGATATTAGAGTGGGCCGAGAATATATAGTCTGGATTCGAATTCAGGCCTGTGGCACTCTGTGCATCACAGTTATGGGTCGTTAATTCTCTGTTTTCTCCTTTTTTTTTGTTTCTCTTTTTTCTTTTCTTTTCTCGTTTTTTCTTTTGTTTTTTCATTTTTCTTTTGTTTTTTCTTTTGTTTTTTAATTTTTCTTTTGTTTTTTCTTGTTTTTCTTTTCTTAGGAATACGCGCAGTGGCCCTAAGGGCCTCTACTCACCACATGCACAAAAGACAAAACATATCGCGGCGTGTTATTGCACGTTCTAGCAGAAGATCCTTTTTCTTTGTTTTTTTTTTTTGTTTTTTTTGAACGCCCAGGGTGTTGTAGAGGCCAAGGACCAGACCCGCAGTAATTGCTGGTAGCAGCAGCCAATGGTCGTTCCGACAGGACAGGCCACCTAACCTACCCATCCCCACGTTTATACTCTCAGCGCAGCCCCTGTCCCTACTGTTATACTGCGTCAAACGCGGGGACGCAGCCATTCGGGTAGCATGCTTTATGTTCCAGACAGTAAGCTTGGCAAAGGTCTTATGAAGTGGGGGATTGGCAGCCTTCCGGATGGTAGTGTCCAAAGCCAACACTCTCCCACACACCACACCCAACCCACTCACACGCGCACTCACACCCGTGTTGGCTGAAGACCTTACCGATACCGACTGGGAGGATCCAGCTCACTATCTCAGTTGGATGGCACCAAGAGTGCCACAGGCGGCTGTTGAACACACAACCTCCTGAATGCCACTTGCGTGCCTAACCAATTGAGCTAGGATGCTGGATGGAGGCCAGATTCTTCTATCGCAAGAGGGAAAAAAAAAAAAAAAACTGAAAAACGAATAGCCAGCTACTGAGGGCTGTACCACCCCACACGCGGCCAGGGAAAAGGCCATTTCTACTAACTTTGTATCTACCTGTCTGTCTGTGTGCTGTCTGTGTCTGTCTGTGTTCCTGTCTCTGTGTGTGTTGTCTGTCTGTCTGTCTGTCTGCTCTCTGTGTTCCTGTCAGTCTGTTGTCTGTCTGTGTCCTGTCTGTCTGTTGTCTGTGTGTTGTCTGTCTGTGTTTTGTCTCCGTCATGTCTGTCTGAGTCTGTCTGTCCGAGTCTGTCCGAGTCTGAGTCTGTCAGTGTGTCTAAGGTCCTGGTCCAACCGGCCAATGGCTGCAAAAAGCAAGAAAAAGGGTACACCCAGGTAAACCTGAGAACACGGACAGGTCCAGGCTCAGGTCCTGGTGCAAGCTTACGTCGTGCGAAATAAAACAGAAAAAACAAATTAAAAATTGTCAAGCCCTGCACATGGGCCCACGGCGTTTAGGCCCACGTCTGGGCCAACATGCAAGAATCGGCCTCATTATGGGCCTTGTCCTAGGTCCTGCTCAGGTCCCGATGTTTTCATGCGCCCTGACACCAGGTAAGAGTTCCACCTGGTTCTG